TTTGTAGATACATAATTTGGAAAGCTTATTTAATTGAAGCCTAAGTTTGCAAAATAAATAAATACATTATATTTAAAGCTTTGAGATAAAAAGTTTATGTTTCAGTTTTTTTGTAAAACTTCCACAGGTCAAACACTTGGAAGAGGAAACATGGATTTATAACATCAGAGGGTGAGAATAGGGATGTAAGTCCACCTCCCCCCCACCCCTGAAAAAAACCAGGAGCTAAACCAGGAAATTCAGGTCAAGAAGTATTCGGGCATTATTGCTAATACCTCTGACCAAGTTTTAAATTCAGCAGAACTCTATTACAGAGAGGCTTGAATTTCCCTCATTCTATTGACTTTAGGCTATTTGATATTCTCCATTATGTAAATAGTTTTGTTAGATTGCTGGCACTGAATAAACATTTTTTCATTTTTTAAAATGATTCACAATTAATTATAGTGAAAAAGATCTCACAGATTTGGCTAAACGTGATAATGAGAGAAGAAAGTTTACATGGGATATAATATATCCATGGGTAAAAGAAAATCTATTAAATGTTTGAAAAGTGACACCTCCATTGTAATTAACAAGGTTGACCAAGGAGGGGGCTGTAGTGCTTTCGAATGCTGAAGATTATTACAAGGAGGCTATATGCAAGTTGAGTGACACCAGTTTGATTTTAGATAAGGACCACACCAATGACTTCCTCTTGAGGCTCTTGCCCTTATTAGACATGGCCATCGAGCAGGAAGTTCTTGATTGAGACCTTGTTGAGTAGCTGATTCCACAGACCCCCATTAAATCTATCTTCCACCATCTGCCTAATGTTCACAGAATGGTAAGACCATTGGTAGGTAGACCCATCGTTTCTTAATGAGACCATATCCAAACGTAAGGATTTCTACCTCAAATCTCTGTTATTAAGATAGCTTGAGACACCACGTCACCGAGTTCATAGTTTGTCTACTTTGGATGTTGTTTCTTTATAGTCATCTGTACCCCATGATAAGGGGTTGATTGACTTACAATATCATCTTGACTTATCTCGTGGTTATAGGTCAACATTAACAATTTTTATTTTGACTATGCTGCAATATCTACTCATATATTTTTCTTTTTGATGGGGCTCATTATCTACAGAGTCATGGGACTTCTATGGTGGCAAAATTTGATCCTTCCCATACCAACCTGTATATGGATTGGAGCGAAGATTTCTGGGTGTTTGGAGATTTGACCGCCTACAGAAGGGACATCTGGTTTTTATCTTTTTTTTTTTTTTTAAACATTACATTTATTGATTTGATCAGTTACATATGCTAGTGCGATGTTTTTTATTTAAATTCTTTGCATTATTTTGAAAGGATACATTTTTGGGATGTTATTGTATCTCTGAATAGCCAGGGTATGAGCAATTTGATTTGCAGGCTAGTGCTTTAAGAAAAGTTTTGCACAAAGAAATATCCAAAATGGATGTAGA